TGTAAGTAGCCAAACTGATTGGAATAATGAAAGAAACTATGAATATAAGACCCAAGTTGTGAAAAAAAGGAGCATGTTTAGCTAAAAAATGATTATGTGACACTGTTTTCTTATTTTTCTCAGTTACAACTAGAGTATTTGTTGTGCTTTTCATGTGTGTTGGTATGAAAATGAAAGTGTGTGTGCTGTGCGTGTTTGTGTGAGAGGAGGATGAGGATTACGACATGTTCACAGCCGAGCGTGCAGACTGCATTGTTTCTGATCATTTCCTCTGTATGTCCGATTGGCTGATGAGGTATTAACTTGCCTCTTTGTGTTATATGTGTCTCGGTCGGATTGTGCGAGGACGCATGTCCAAACAGCCACATTTTCCCCCTTGTTCAACACTGCCAAGAATCCATCCAAGGCTGGCCTGAAAAACCTCCTCTGTTATCTCCACCTGTGGCATCCAATGCTGTTTTACTGATAGCTTTTTCGACTCTGTATCTTGGGTTGACTTGTACTTTCTTTTGAAGTCTGGCCACTGGTATTGTCACAGAACACAGCTCCAGTCCCAAAGAAAACACCAACAACAGCATGAGTTCCAAGATTAGGCTGTACACCTTTATTATTTATATTCCCACAGCGTGTCTTTGTTCTCTTTTATTTCTAAAAGAGAACAAGTTTCTTGATCAGAAACATTTTATTTCAGTGACCTAAAATGGTCAAAATGTTATTTGAGAGGTTTTTGCTTGAGAAAGATAAAGCACTGGAGAAAACACCTCATTGCAATATCCAAATAGTCACATTTAAGCTGCTGTTATCAGCGTTAATATTTCAAATACATATAACATTTGGCATTGAAATTTACATCTTTAAAGATAAGCCACCATATATTAGCACAAAATATCCATCACCCGGCCCAAATCAGCCATCCTGTAAAAGCCTGTATCAGTCAAACACTACAGTAGTTTCCATTTCTTTATTGGCCTCTGTCCAGAACAGCATTATCTACACATCACGATGGACAAAACCACCTTGTAAATAACCATATTACTTTACCTACTGATATCAGCCCCAGAGGAAAAGATCCCCAACATTAGAGTGCTGGGGGATTGTGTCGGGGGCGTGAGAGGTTAAGACTTGTTGAATAGCTGGTGGGCGTCACACAATGAGGTGGATTAGGCAGCACTAGAAAAGGCCTTCAGGGCTTTACTGGGGTGTTCAGCAGCTTATAGCGCCTACAATAACACAGCAACAGTGCAGATGGAGCTGGCAAAAAGGCTAGCTGGGCAAGTGGCTGGCAGATACTGTCAGCGTAGTAGAAAGCAAGGAAGCTGTGATGTAAGAAACAGAGTAAACGATGAGTTGCATTTTACTGATTGACAGGAAGAACACAGCTCAATAAAGTTACTAATGGGTAGAAAGAAGCAGCATTTTGCTAGAGATCCCTGGTCCTCCCACAGGACCCCTGGGTGTCACATCGGCATTGAGATGAGGAGTTAGAGAACAGGAGCGGTGCAGGGCTGCGGATGAGAGGTGAGGCTCAGTCTCAGTGGCTCCAGCACTTGTCTCTGCTTGCCTGGAGCTGTGGCTGGAAAAATTATATCATTGCTGATGACCCATATTCTTACAGATAAACCCTGGCACTGCTACTTCATGTGCGTGAGTAAAGAAATTGTCTTTTAAAGTGCAAAATCACCACGAGTGCTGCACATTTCTGGTATGTTGTTCAGCTCATTGATGTATCCATACAAACCATGTCCAGATATACAGATGATATATGATGATATATGTGTGACACTTTGTTGTACTGTGCCATTGCAATTGCTAGTATGTTGTAACAATATCATCATCCTTGGTTTCATCGGGGACATAACAATTCATGAGCATCCTGAATGAACAACAATAAAACAGCTACATTGTCTAGAGTTACACTTAAAGACCCATCACTGCGCACTGGGGTCTTTAAGTTTATAATCCGGACTCATTATAAATTGGGGAATTTTCTGGTTAAAACAGTATTTGCAACTATTAGCAACCTCATCCAATAAAGCACCAGTATAAGTGGCTTTATAAATCCATTATTATTATTACATTATCTGAACCCAGAGCAGTGTGAACCAGCAGTCCTCGCCCCTGCCTGGGATTACTGCAGCATGTCTGCCCTGTGTAGTGCTGGAGAATTAAACAGGAGGGGGGCAGGCAGCGGGCTGGGATAACACCGCAGTGTGGCACATTGCGTGTTAGCCGGGGTAATAACAGTGTGGTTTGTATTAGGTTTCCCTTGGCTAAAGTAAGAAGCTCCCACTTCCTGCATGCAGTACGCGACAAAGACAGGATCCATATTGGCCTCTGAACATCTGCAGGACGTATTAAACACACACTGTGGTTTTATGTCAGTGCAGTATGAGTTTGAAAAGACTCTTAAGCTAATTAGACCCCCTGTTCATCTCAAGGTCACTGATTTGCTCTGCAGTTAGTTTTTGACAGGCAGCAGTGTGCAGTTCAACATCATCTCAAACAGTAGAAAGAATTCATAGCATGATATTCTGGCCCAGTTATAACTGCTGTTTTAAACTGACACCAGAAAGAAACTGTAGGTCAGATTGCAGCTACAGACAGCATGTCAGCTTTTATTTTTATTCTGTACACTAGTTATTAATATAAGTGCAGGCTATCATGTCAGCATGTTTTCTTGATTTGTGGGTCTATTGCCATGTTCAGACCACAAACAGCCATGCATTTAAACAACGCCAGGTAATTTACCGGTGCATTTCCTCTTGGTTTACTTTGTGGCACGAACAGCGTATTTCTACAGTTTATTTGGCAATGGTCAAAGATATTTCATGTTGTACAATACTTGCTTACATTTTTTTAAACCATTATGCATCTGATAAGCCACCAAAACTCATGGATCTCATCATTTTAACGGTGCCTGAAACCACATGTCGACCCGCGACCAAGGTCCAACACGGGACTTTCACCCAGGAAACCGTTGTCTGTGTCCCATGTGAAACTAAAAGTCAACGTAGACTTATTTTAATTTACGTCCGTAACTGAAGTAACGTGACAAACATACTTTTCTAAAGCCAAACCATGTTGTTTTTACTAAACCAATACAAGTAGTTTTGTTGCGTTTTTGTTTTGTTTTGCAATGCGTCAAAGGATCAGCACATCCGGGATACTATACATTGATGCAAGACTACGCAATATTACCAGTGTTTTTTTGCACATTCAGCTGGAATTATGCTTCTTAACGCATCATGCAGACCTGCACATCAAACAAGCTGATTGGTTGAACCAACTCGGGAGACAGGTTCAAAGCAGAAAGACAAAGAGGTGACGTTTGTACAAGTGGCCATAGTCACTGTGATGTCACCCATTGGTTTGTGGACTACAGATTTGAAGCCTTGAGTTTGACATTTTGACATTTTGTAGTAGCCACGCTATGTCGTCTATTTTACTAAATGAACATCATGCTGTATTGAAGAAGACTTGAAACTAAAGATTGAGACCATGAACTCATGTTGACAATGTACTGAGGTAATAAATGAAGTGAGATTTAAGGTCATTTTCTCATAGACTTCTATACAACCAGACTCTTTTTAGCAACCTGCTGGCCATTGGAAAGAGCACAAGTTTAAGGCACTTCCGTATTGGCTTCCCTTTTTAAAACCGGAGTCTGCCGCCTGTGTTCTCATGTACGTGCATTATCATTTCCTGCTCTCAATTTTCTTGATGACATGCCATACTCACAGATGCACATTGACGCACGCTCACAGGGCGTAGACCACTGCCAGCAGAGCAGGCGGGCAGCATCAGATTAAAGACAGTGAAGGGCCTGATGGACGATACAATACACTACATGCATCACATTCTTAATACTGTGCTGCCACTTATGCGCACAGCATTCTGTCCATATATCGTCGGATATGGTTTATAGCATGTAATAACAGTAATAGGTTCCTTATGCGGAGATCCTCAGAAGAGTAACTTGGTCTAGTCTGAAGGGCTGTGGAGCAATGTGATGTCAGAGAAATGTTCTCTGTCACCCAGAGAGTGTTAGGAGAAGTTTGGTTATGTCCCAGAATAACTCTTGTCCACTGATGCTGTGGGTTAATCCCACAGCTGTGGACTTCCTCTGCTAATAACACAGATGCACGTTCATATCGGATGAGTAATTCATGGTAAAGCAATAAGAAGGGATCTCCTGTTTTGTTCCTACTTTATGTTCAATGTAGTGATGATGCTGAACAATGGTGCTAATGGTTAGTGTCCTGTGCACCTTTGGCTGCTATGCACACTTTGACTCTGCGTCATTTAAAATCATTTCCTATTTTCTGTAATGTTTGAAATTGCTTTCATGTTTCATGTATGCTGCTGAAACAGTGGGTTATAGGATCATTCTGCTTTATTATAACTTGGATCTTATTTTCATAGTTTTCACCATCATTTATATCAGTTGGTAATAATACAATATAGAACATAAACACAATTACAGATGTACAGTTAGGCCAATAAATGAGTCAGTAAACTGCGATGGATGTTTACAAGAGATAGATTCAGTAATAGTGTGTTTAAAGACGTCTTAACACAAGCAACCATTAAAGAAATATGGCAAAATAAAATAATGCAAAATTGATAAAGTTTTCAATTCAATTAGGAGGCAAGTAATTTAGAAAATGCAAACAAGACCTAAGAAAGCATTCAAGGACGATTTTTGGAGCTTCAAACTTTTTAAATATTTGATGCTATGGATGCATTTAATTTCATACTGAAAAGGTATTTAGGCTTGATAGCCAGCTCGAATGAAGAGGGCACTTTGTTTCTGTTAGAATAAGGATACAGAGTATGTGTCAGAAGACAAACTGTGCATGTGGACATTTGACCCGCACAGATGTGTTGTCTGATTAGCTTAGCTCTTGTGGTTGAAAACAGATCACCTGACGACTACTCAACATTCTCTCTCTCTCTCTCTCTCTCTCTCTCTCTCTCTCTCTCTCTGTGTGTCTCTGCAGAGCTGCAGAGGGAGGGCAGCATCGAGACCCTCAGTAACAGCTCGGGATCCACCAGCGGCAGCATCCCACGCAACTTCGAGGGCTACCGCTCCCCCCTGCCCACCAACGAGAGCCAGCCGCTCAGCCTCTTCCCGACCAACTTCCCCTAGACTCCCACCTCTCCTCCAGGAAGAACCAGCACCGCCCGGCCCACCCTCCTGCCTCCCCCATATCTGTCCACACAGCATCGCACTGACACACAGCAAAACAAATCATGCCTAGTATTTGTTTTTCACTGAAGTGTGTTCTGTGTTGTCTTTCTCATGCAGCTGCTCACACATTAGTGTGGTCCCAGCTACATGCAGTATTAGTATTGTATTTCTTTTATGAAGCTGCCAATGCTTCTGTAGTTCATACAGATTTCCAATCATTCTAAAAAGAAAATTTAATTAAACTATTTAGTGTTCAAATTGCATTCATATCTGGGTGAAAACACTGAGAAAAATGTGTTGTAGTCTCTTGAAAGCTAATTTCCTTTAAGCTTAACAGCTGGTTTAAGTGTTGCCGGGCAGTTCACCAGATCTAAAGTTCAGATAAAATGTAGTTTCATCACAGAGTATTTTGATACAGCGGTCAGGGAGGAACTTCCTTTATTTTCAATATCAGATTTTTAATAACAGGCCAGTATCAGCCCAGCACATCTATCTCTGCTTTCTAACCTTGCTGCTGTGTTAAATCAGAAGCCAGTTGACACAGACGTTGTTGGAGTCCAGCCGCCCTCTCCTCTCTGCAGCTGATGTTTCCTCAGCCCGGGCCGCCGTCATTCTTTGTGTGTTTGAAGTTTTACGGTGTGCCTATTGTCTGAATGAGCCATGAGAGCGGGAGGGCCGACAAAGGAAACATGTTTATTCCAGTCAGTGACGTGTAGCAGCTCCTTTTCCCTCCGTGTGTGTGTTGCTGCTCTCTTGGCCTCTCCCTAAATGTTTTTGATTAAATTTGTCCCTCTCATGCCTTTGATTATCATATAATTACATTTGACAAAAGATGCAGTAATGAGATGACACTATTACTACGTTGCTGAAGTCATTTAGATGTTTACCGTGTAATTGAGACATTTCTGACATCATTTAGATATGTTTCCCAACTCGGCCGTTCCAGATAGTACATTTTCATTGAGTGGAGTAATAGAGGCCGTCGTGCTGTATTTTCTTCATTAGCAAGTTTTGACCAAAATCGTTTTCTCACCTCTAGTTATAGATAAATACATAAATGCATTATACTTAAATGTACTAGCTTTGCCTGAAGCAAAGAAGATTGACTTTGATAAACAGAAATTCCTTTATTCAACACACTTCACCTGTTAGTTTGTCCAAAGCAAAATGTTTGTCTTGGTAAAAACTGAAATGCACTATTTACAGAGACACATTAGAAAGAATTGTCAATGATAAAAATAATAATGTACAATCCCTCATGTGTGTAGTTGGACTGGCTGCAGGCCATGATGGCCTGTTGTTGCTCTTTCACTGAATGAGGGTATGCATCTACGTGTTTTAATTCAGAGCAAATGCTTGTTGTTGACAGTACGATTTAATTTGTAAAATACTTACTTGACTTTTCCCAGCAGTCATGCAAGAAAATAAAAACATAATAGAACACAAGGAAATGAAACTGTCTGTCTTTTTTCTCACTCTGATTGCTCCTAATTGTGCCGTTCAGATTTCAACCACGGCGGTGACCATCAGCACAAAGTACCACTGGTAATTAGTACCATATTTTTTAACAGGCAGTAAAGTGCTGTTAAAGGGACTTTTTATGGTCAACTCTGGCTCTTTGTTCTGAGAAACGAGAGGCCATGTTTGTTTCTCTGCCAATCAGCACAAAACTTCAAATCCCAAAACTCAGAATAAAAAAGAAGAAGCAAATTAAATGAAATTAGCATTCAATTATTTCTTGTACACTTTATTTCATCTCATCGATGTGTTCATAAACTACTGGCCATAAAATGAAAAAGAGGTCCTTGCCCAGCTATATGGAACATCTCCAAGCTTGAAGAGATGACCAACAAATGTTTGCAGACAAAAATGTAATCTTTTACAGTATAAGTAAGACAACAGAATACATACAAACTGAACCATTACAAAATGTTTTTATTGAAGATTTATTTATGAATAAAGTAGAAATGGGCTCAAGCTGTTTCTCTGTTACTCCATCCAGAGGAAAGCTCGGCATTATGCAACAAAAGACAAACTGCAGCTTTTTATGGGAAACTTTTTATTTAATTCAAACACTTTATAACAAACATTTTACAATGTTTTATCACCAGGGTAACTTTTGAAACTTTAAAGAAAACATGATGAATAACAATGTGGTCATTGACAAGGATAATGCACTAAAATCCTGAAAACTGATACACATAATGTCAGTTCAAAATTTATTTGTAACATTTGTAACAACAGTGTAATGACACTGAATGGGGAGATTCTGGGCACATTAAGCTATATATTGATTTCAAGAAGAAATTCTAAAATAGTGAGCTTTGACATGTAACAGTGTATTGCAGCAGTAATTCAGAAAGATGCGTCCTTTGCAAAACAGTACATCCCTCCTCATTGATTCAAGTTGCTCTGGATAAGAGAATCAGCTCACTGAAATGTAAATGGCGTGAACTTTAAAGTCCCCATGTTATACTCAACATTCTGCTTAGAGATGTGCGGCGGAACCCACTGATGTTGAGTCCCAACTTGTGAACTTTGAACAGGAAAGCAAAGTGAACGCGTATCAATCATCGAAGGGCTAATCGAGTACAACTAAAACTGAGTGTGATAGTCACACTGATTCTCCTGTAGTTAGCATGGGGTCACTACAAAGCATTAGCTTGGTTAGCATGAGCATTTAACTGGAAACATCTGATTGGAACAAAGCATGCTAACACGTATTGCAAACACTGGCTAGCAGTTTAGCATACACAATGTTGAAGGCTCTGTTCACATTTACTTTGCTAAAAGACGACGGACTCCATGTTAACAGTTTCTAAATTATCATTAACAATCATTAATTTCAAGTGTAGCCTAGTTGGAGCAAATTTACCATCATCCGTCGTTTCCCATTTCAAGACTTTACGAGATAAAGTAACTCTCCAGACCTCCTGCTAGCTACTTCTCTCAAAAGCAACAGAAATGTCTCCTGTGCTTCTGGACCTGAGGGAATAATCTTATCTGCTGTTCTTTAAAGCCAACAGTTGATGTTGATGCATATAATTGTGCTGCTTACTAACCGTATCCAAACTGTGGCCTCCATTCACAACATGACCAATGTCCTGTCTGCTGAGACCAGCAGTGCAAATACATCCAAATGCAAATTAGCAGGAACATCGCTTGTAGCAGTTATTTTTGTTTCTTTCACCAAATTATATTTGGTTATGACATGGTTATGACTGGGCTGTGTATAATAAATAAATACAATTTTGAAAAACAAACTTTGTTTCATATGTCCCTGCTTCCAACATGTGACTTTAGATTCGTTTGAAACGTTAACCATAAAAGTGATGCGTGTGGCCAGTAATCACAAATCATGTAATTAAAAAATGTTCAAAATATGATTTCATTTTTACATTTCATTAAAAGCTATAATAGGTCTCTGAGATATTGTGTTGTGAAGTCCAGCAGCTTCTGCAAAGAGGATTTAGAAATTGGGATGTAAAATACCTATTGTAATTCAAATTGAATCTAAATTTGATTTATATAGCCCAATATTAAAAATTGTACAACATGCAACATCGGATATGGAAAAACTTTCCAAAGAAACCTTCAACTACCTTTTGATGGATGCTAAAATGTAGATTTAAATCTATTATATATTATGTTCCTCTTATATGTGCAAATGACTACAAATTCATTTTGGAGATATTTTTATAAGTGAGCAGCCCAGAATTGTTTTATCATTGTCATTTTCAAAGTCAAAGTCACTTTGGTTGCCAAAATTACTCAAATAAAGAACAAGACAGACAAAAATGGCTTCTTTTGCAGCTCAACCATAACAGGCACTTTGAGTTGTTCTCTGTGTGGGACGTACCTGAGACGATTCCTGCATGTTTTACCTTCACCGTCTTCACATTAAATCCTTAAACAACTCAGTCAGCCCTGTGATGGAGAAACTGCTTAGAAACACGGTGCTCCAGGTCTCTGTTTGGTTAGCATGGCCTGGACCTCGAACACATTTGATCAAAAAAAGTATTAAACATGTGGTGAATTGTAAACACATGTTGTCCACTCAAGTTCATTTTGAGTGCTATAAATAATATTACATTTTTCTGAGGAACCTGAGAGAAATAAATTATTTAGAATAAGTGATTTTGATGATGACTTGATAATCTCATGTTAAGATCAGCTGCTGCAGAAAACGTATACATTGACACAAGGACCAAGGCCATTTCTAGATCCATGTCATGGATCCTAAACCTGCAACCAGACTGCATCTAGATCAACGTATAACTGTCAAGGAAGAGTTCAATCATTGAACTGTCATTAAATTACAAACATGGTTCATTTACAGACTTTACTTACATCGGGTTCATTTCATTATTTGCCTTTTTTCTCACCTCCTGCCATCTCCTCCAGGAGGTCTGTAAACCACAGAGACAGCTTTGTTCCCACTAAAACTCACCATCAGTGTGTCAGGACCTGTACAGTGTAAAATGTCCAAGACAATGCCGGAGATGTGCTCACTGATCTGCGCTCAGCCGGCTGCTGTCAGGTTGGAAGGAGAAAAGATTTGAATCAGGAACATGAGCAGGATATTTTCTGGATGAGCTTCAGTTTCATCCGCCATATTTATCCTTAAAGAAACACATGAATCAGTTTCCATTCTCTGCTGCTGCTTCAGGTTTCTGTCATTTTACAAGGCAGTTAATAAAACACTTACCTGTACAGAGGAAGAGAGGAAGCAGGGATCCACTTACCTAAACTCACTTTCCTACATTTCAGGCTCACTTTCATTTCAATTAGCACACATTAATTCACAGTGTGAGAAGATACACGTCAGCTCAGTATTTTTAAAGGGACATTGCGATGAACTCTGACTCCATTCATCTATTCAACTCACTGACTGTCTGCAACGGCGTTATATGACATGATGACACATTTGCAGATGTTTTATTCATGTCGTTTTCAGAAATAATTAGATTGTCATATAATCTTCAATGTTTCAGTCATTTTTAATCGCAATTTAATTTGAAACGTGTCAAAACGTTCACTTTTGAAAGCAATTTCAGTTCTCAGCGTTTAGAATTACAAATGTTGTGAAACATGGGGACAATAATCAAACACTAAAATATGACGTATGAAATTCAAAACGGAGACGTTACCTTAGTTTTGACTTTAGTCTTGATGAGAGGTTGTTTAGATTGTGTCTGTCGTTATGCTTTCTGTCATGTAGCAGGATTTCTGATCCTCCGTGTTGTGTGACAGCAGAGGGGCAGAAGAGCCTCTCCCTCCGGCCTACAGGTATAGCCTTCCTGCCCCTCCGCTGCGCTCCTATGATTCAATGTTCCCAGCGCTGCAGCTTCTAATTCAATTTCTCCACACTGTCAACACTTCTGCAAACACACAGGAGATTATTTTGCTGGTTTAAAAAAAAGTGCCTCAACGAAAATGGAAGAGTAAAAAAAAGAATGTGCGCTGGATGATATTTAAAAGCCGATGCTTTTAATATTATTTCATGCCTAGGAATAAGTTGAGAGCTTCTCCTGAAATAAACACAAACATACAAGTTTTACAAGTGTAATCCCTCTCTTTCATTTGATGGCGCGAACTAACCCGCACGTTCACACTTCCGGTTAAAATGCCTATCCTAAAGGAGATATTTTTACCGCTCGGTTTGATCAAATACTTTTAATCTGTTTTAAAAATCAAAAGGTTTTTGCGAATCGGTATATAATAATATCCCTCAAATAAATGTATTTACTGAGAGGTGGTGGAATATAAAACATTGTATTTTCTTAATCTAAACATGTAAAATCTCTTTTCAAAGAAAGTCGACGGTGCAGAGGCCTTTTTGTTTTAGCAGAAACATGTTTTTTTCGTGTCCGTTTATCATGTCTCGGGGACCCACAACATTTTAAAAAGGCCGTTTTCAGTCGTGACTGCATGTTTGCGGAACAGGTATTTTTAACAAGATGACTCAATGGGATCGATTTGTTTTGATTTTATCAAAATGTGCAAGACCTACAGAAAAAAAAGAAAATACTCTAATGTTTCTATTGGTGCTTTCAGAGAGCTCGCGGCACTTTCTGCTCAAAGGCACAACGGGAAGGTCACCTCCAACCAGCAACCGACAACTGACAACAGATGTTTTTTTTTCTATTAATGCTGCAGGGAATATTTGAGGGAGTAATGACAGTAGGTAATGTCTTTGTGATTTATTTGGTGGCATGCGTCACATCCAGTGATCGCGTTTGGCATATACCTATTATACGCTGGAGATATACGCGTGCGCAGATTTCGGCCGAGCGTCATGCACTTATTCACCTGTGGCCGTGCAGATTTTGCTTCCATTCTGATTTACTCCGAGTCTCCTTAGCACAATAACCTATAAGGCACAATTTCACTATAATTAATAACCTAATGGCAAAATAATTAGAGAGTGTATTAAAAGCACTGCATTGTAAAGAGTTGAAGAGTAAATCAAACCAAAGCTTTCTTTCTGTGAATAAACCTGATCAGTCTGAACTCTGTGTGAGTGTCATAACATCACGGTGTTGGCTGCTGTAACGCCTGTGGATGTGACATCTCTGTCACTCCTCTCTGGCTCCCCTGGGTCACGATAGCGCCCCCACCTGGCTTCTACCTGTCAGTCACACACACAGCCCCCACACAACACTGTGGCTGCAGGCTGCAGCTCAGAACTGGACTGTCAGAATATGAGGGTAAAATAAGCTCAGGGGCTGGAAGGTAGCTGGATATGAGTGGTTGTAGTTCATGATTGAGTTTGTCATGAAGTCATGTCCAGTAAAAACATGTTTGTTTTATGGAAGAGCTGGGATGCATCATGTAATACGTTCGTCCCGAAAGGCTTAGTTTTCATTGTATTGTTCCAAATAATATGATATTGTGTGTGTGTGTGTGTGTGTGTGTGTGTGTGTGTGTGTGTGTGTGGTTGAGGAAACACTGCTTTACAAGTGAGAAATGATATGTGTCATTTAGCAGAGTGAACTGTAGAGGAGCTGCAGGAGGAATTGGAGGAGATGAAGGAGAGGAGGAAGAGGAGGAGGAGGGGTGCCGGTAGCTGTACGATGAGGATGAGAGAGAAAAAAGGAGAAGAAGAAGAAGAAAAAGAAATGAGGAGGAGGAGGAGGAGGAGTGGGCCGTTGGTCGCCGGGTTTCCATGTGACAAGGGGAAATATGAGGGACTTTGACAGGTCTTAAACGGTCTGGCGCCAAGGCCTCAGTCTAGCCGCTAAATATAGCCGGAGAGATGATGCAGGAAGATGGGAGGAGAAGATGGAGAGATAAAAGGAAGAAAGGAACAATGTCGGAGGGAGGAAGAAAATAACAATACTCGATTATAGACGAATATGGCGCAAAACTGATCCGTTATGTTGTAATTAGAGCGTCGTTGGCCTTTATCGTTGACACATGGGCCAAATCACCGGGACGGAAGACGTTTTTACGCACATTTTCACATCTGCTGCACTGTATTGTATTGAGCGGACGGATCAAGGACACAGAAAAGCTTGAGTCAACTTCCTACTGTGTGGAAAGAGCCATGCAAGCATTTCATTCACTTGAAATAGGCCCACAGCCCCAGATAACAGGGAGACCGACAGGTTGCATCAAATATATCAAACTGAAGCCTCTAAACCTGCTTTTTTGACACATTTCTGGTTTTATCAAAATCATAAATTATCTAAACGTGGGACAAAATTTGGGATCAACGTTTAAGAATATGCCCCTGTTATTAGATGTTCCTCCACATTCTGCGCATCTTGTACCATTCACGATGATTGTTTCACATGCCCATCTGACACGCAGGACACACACATGCATTCCCAAAAGAACAAGTCTGAGGAACAAATTCACTGTCTGCTTTAATTAATCCCCAACACAGAGAATGTGCTAATCTATCGGCACAGTGCCCCTTCTAGATCTAGCAGCAGCTTGGAGCAGTCCTCCCTTGACTTAATGACTTTTAAATCGCGCGTAATGGAGATTTCTGTACCGTTGACGGAACAGAACAAATAAATGGTGACCAATTTGCGAAAGCATTGTTGATACAATTATCCAGTTGAGTATTCCGGCAGCAAACCCGTTATCCACCTCCATATGTTGCTAATCTTTTTTTTCTTTTCCAAGTAAAGCTCAGTGCATGCAGCTTCCACACAATGACAAACTGCCGCCGCTCCCACGGCGCTACGTCTCTTCTGTCATTGCATAAATCTGAAGGTGCAGCATTCCAAACAAGTCAGCTGTCCGGGCAAATTACAGCAGATACACACCACAAAATAACTCTGGAGAAAACGGTGAGGTATGTGCCAGACATGCTTGATGATTTTACATTTTCCTCATGTGAAGTTGATGCTTGGCATTTATTTCCAACTGTTAGAATACACATATTTTTCACATTGCCAGTGGACACTGACTCCGCTGTGTGGAACAGTTGTTGCTCCGGGGGCTTGTGTCTGATCTGATGGGCTTGTAGGAACTGTTTGGGTTTCAGCTTTTTACCATTCGGATATAGAGCTGCTGCTGTCAGGCCTGCTGACCTTTTAAGCGGGTCGTATCAATCGGATGGAAACCGAGCAACAAGTGTGTAACATAGCGGAGATGTGCAAACACGTGCTGCTAAATCACATAACACGATGTATATGACGCACACGTGCAGGCCGCTGAAGCTTCCTGGAGTTGCATTTTTGTCTCGCATTTGTTTAGCACATTTGATCGTCGGATGAATAGTATGTATTAATAATAAATATAATATTCACAACATATCTAAGCGTCGTGTCAGCGGAAGCCGCCGAGACGATAAGTTCCAAGGGTTAATAGGAAATCCGCAGTTGTCTGTGGCAGTCTCGTTCAGAGGGATTCTCACTTTTTGTTTCAGTTTTGGTCGAAGTGACGCCTGTGTCCCGCAACACGGAGAGAGCAGCTGTTTATCCAAAAAGATTTTTTTTTTTAATTCACATCTGACACCGAGCCATGACCGAGGCAGAAAAGTGGAGCGGAGCCGCAGATGAGGCTGCTGAGGGGGGGCCGGAGGGGCCGGAGGGGCTCGCGCATGCACGACTTCAGGGTAAATATAAAGAGACAAGAGATTGTTCTTATTGTGGCGCATCAGCCGACTGGCGCCGAGCGGCTCTTTAACAAACTGAGTCCAAGTTAATCAAGAGCTGCGGCGCTGGATTTCCTCTAAAGGAGCTCAGCAGAGCGGAGTGCAGGGAGGCGGGTGGGGGGGCCCCGTGGCTCCCGGAGTCTCGCACTGTCCTTGGTTTGAAAAAATACAACCTGTCGGAGATTACACGCTGCCACGGCCTGCCCTCAGCTCTGAGACTGAGCACTAAATCATCTCATTGCTGGCGATTGTTTCGACACAAAAATAAAATCCCCACGACGTCCAACAACAGTGTAACATTAGTGATAATAACGGACACTGACAATAACATTTAACCTTATTTAAAAAATAAAAATCCAACAATGCCAGAGTCTCCAAATAATGTAACTTTATTTGCGTCTAAACAAGGAAGAGTTTGTATCGAAGTGAGCACTCACCGCTTTTCCTTCTCTCTGATATTTCTCTTAAAATTCACTCATCATCATTCATCTGGTTTCCTCTTTTCCTCCGCGCAGCATCTGGGTTTGTCTTTTCCAGCCTCGTCTCTTTTATTGCGCCGCCGCCGCTGCGACCGTCGCTGCCTTCCCGTCAGCTCGATCAGGACAAACGCACAGATAAATGTCTCTCGCCCGGGGAAGCCGGGCTGTATGAGGCTGAAGTCAGTGTACACACAGCTAACACGGATAGCCTGGGCTAGTGTGAGGCAAATCCAGCCTATAAACGTCAAAACAGCCGATAACACGGAATAAGTACAAGGCTGTTATTATAGAGAGCGATCGAGAGAGCAGCGGCTCTTTGGAATAAATCTCTCCGGAATGCAGAACATGAGCTGCGAGTCGTGGATTGAGCCTACTGTAGTGAGTTGTTCTAAAAGACATGGTAAACGTGGAGGACTGGAGCTGTTCCTCTGTATTGAGGTGAGTATTTAAACAGTGACTCTGTGGATGGGCTGGTTTCTCCGGAGGCGACGTTGTAAAAACGCAAGCCGAGAGAGATGATGCCTCCACCGGCCAAGAACTGAGGGCTGACCCGGTGTTTGGCTTGGAAATGGGGGTGGGATTTCCCGATCTTTCCTGTCATTGGTTAATATTTTATTCTGTTGACATGTTTTCTTACTGCTAATGCTTCCGACACCTTCTTGCCCCCCTCCCTCCTCTCATAGAATCTGACCGGAGCTGTCAGAACCACGCCTATAGGGGCCCACAATTGGTCCAGAAAGCGTAAAATCAGCAATCAAAGGGGCTTGGTTCATTAGTGTTGGGGATGGAGGCAGGAAGGACATGTGAGATAGTCACAGATCTGCAGTGAACGGGGCCACATCTCTCCAGTCAGTGTGGGATGACTGAAGCAGAGGAACAGCTTATTTCTCTGAGAGGCACACAGCGCAGCCGGGCTCTGTCTTCACACACCGCTCCTACTGAGGGACTCGGCGGAGGAGCCGAAGGAACAAGCACATCAACAGCAACTCTGGGCTATTTTTTTCTTCAGCCTGATAACGCGCTGTGTGTTTGACAAAGCCCCGTGCTCGTCAGCGCCGCTCAACAGAAATTAACTGCTCGCGAAGCGCGGACCTACTCTGGCTCTGGGTTGGGGGGAATTACCACTAAAATATCCATTATTTCACTTCGGTTTTTGTGGATGCACCGATGAGAGATCCAGTTTTCACAGGGACTGCAATGGCTTATCACCCTTTCCACGCACACCGGCCGACCGACTTCCCCATGTCCGCCTTTCTAGCGGCCGCCCAGCCTTCCTTCTTCCCGGCGCTCAGCCTGCCTCCCGGGGCGCTCACCAAGCCCATTTCGGACCACGGCCTGGCCGGGGCGGCGGAGGTTGTGCTCCACCCGGCCCTAAGCCACCATCAGGCGGTTCATCTCCGCAGCATGAAGAGCCTGGAGCCCGAGGAGGAAGTGGACGACGACCCCAAAGTAACACTGGAAGCCAAGGATCTTTGGGACCAATTTCATAAAGTCGGGACGGAGATGGTTATTACCAAGTCCGGAAGGTAAGAATTCACTAATGGCTATACCGAGACTACATTATTTCCTTCTTTTTTTTAAATAGGCAGTTTATCTTTACTAATGCAGAGAATGAGTCAAGCTGAAAAGTTCAGAGCCGCTGAAAGTCATTTATTCACGTTGTTAAATGGTGCGTGTGTCAGGCCTTTATGTTCGGTTTTTAATTCTCAACCAATTATTATCCTGTTCAACAATTAATAAAAATATGATAAAAAGCAATAGAAGATACTGCAAGAACATGCAATGTTTACCTCGCATTACACACTAAATATATTGTTTTAAATAGAGTTCCAGCCCCATAACTGCATGTTTATATTTAGGATTTAAACTGGCTTCATTTTTTTAAATTAGTGAATTATTAAAAACGTAAATTAATTTGATATATTTACAATATATTTCAAGGCTGATCAAAGGACATATTTGGGATATTTTGGGGGAAATGTGTCATGGGATTTCGTCAGGTTTTATCTCCAAACTGCATTGTGTTGAGACAGCAGCGCTTCTGGATTTTATAAACAGGCTGTCACTTCAAAAAGCAGGGACGTGAAGTGATGTGGTCACAAATATACTGCTCAGATTTGTAGTGTGGGCTTTGGACAACACACACATGCATACACACACAGGCGGACAGACAGGCAGAGACCCCCTCCCCTCACACACACACACACACACACACACACACACACACACACACACACACTATGGTTTTGCTGGAGAATAATAAATACAATATTTCCTCTTGTCGGAGCGGCGTGTTGACTCCCGGTGTGTTTTTCCTCTGCAGGAGGATGTTCCCTCCGTTCAAAGTGCGAATAAACGGACTCGATAAAAAGGCCAAATACATCCTGCTGATGGACATCGTGGCGGCGGACGACTGCCGCTACAAGTTCCACAACTCCCGCTGGATGGTGGCGGGCAAGGCCGACCCAGAGATGCCCAAGCGGATGTATATCCACCCGGACAGCCCGGCCACCGGCGAGCAGTGGATGGCGAAGCCTGTTGCTTTCCATAAACTCAAGTTGACCAACAACATTTCAGACAAACACGGATTTGTAAGTAGTGGGAGTTTTTTTTCTCGCCTGAACAGAGACATGTTTTGTGTACATATGGTGCATGAGGTGTTTGCTGTTTGAACAGACAGGGTGTTTTTAGGTGTTTTTAAAATCAGATTAAATTTTTATGAAGCATATGGGGAAAGTGTGTCGTTGCAGCAGCGCAATAATAGCAAGACACAGCCAGGGGGAAAGGGAAATAAATAAAAACAGAGCACATAGCATGTGCTGAATGCAAATGAAAACTACTGCAGGGAAATTGTGAAGGAAAATGAATAAAAGTGCGGGGAGCTTTTCTACTAAATATAGAATCAGAACGTTACACAAATAATGTCAGAGAATAGACTGCGTTTAAAGACGAGTCAGCCCACATTTATGTTGTTGGACGCCTTTACGTCCAAAGCTGTTGACACTTTGTCACCACTTGACTTCCCACTGCCGCTGACATACACAGAGCTTATGTTTCGTTGCAGCTCTCCAGATTCGGGATAGTATCAGCCTGCATTTTCTCCCCTGCACCCATGTAGTCAGGGGCCCGTCTCTCTGCAGCTGCTCATGGCCTAAACCACGGCTGGCCCTTTATGTTTTTCATTTTAATCGGGCATGTATTTGTAATAAAAAATAAAAACACCAGTACATTTAAGCTGAGTGTTTGCCAGGCTGGGGTCACAGATAAATGACGTGAAATGAGCGTGAATGACCGAGCCGACTGACGTGTCTGATATCAGTAGTATGGTATCGTATAGTATATAGTATGGTATAGTATAGTATAGTATAGTATGGTATAGTATAGTATGGTATAGTATAGTATGGTATAGTATAGTATGGTATAGTAGGCTATAGTATATTGTGTAGTATAATGCCCTAGATATTATTAGGTTGTTGTTGTGTGTTTTATCCTAAATATGATCCCATAGTTTACCACGTATTACACGTTATTTTACCGGTTTAAAAATATAACCGCACCCACCCCAAAAAAAAAAGAAAAATAAGGAGCTAAAGGAGCAAATTACAAATGTCTGAGAAACTCCTTCTGACTGGCAGAGTGCAGCTTCCGACTGGAAACAAATTCAGCATTTACATGTCAGTCTAAATCATTTGCAATCGCTTGAAGGCAGGAGTTATAATCACGTGTAATGGTCTTATTTGCACGTGCAGCCTATATGCGTATTATAAGTGATCTTTAAGGTGGTTCGTATGGTATCTCAATATGCTTATCTTTATCTGGAATTAACACGGTATTGCATTTTAATGCTGCTCTGTGTCTGGTTTTCTTTATGAGTGGGGGGATGATTTAAAAAATATGTTTTACCTTAAAACGCATGTTTATTCTCTAGTGCCCTGTGTGTAAAAAATAAAGAAAGAAAGTGGCTTTACTGTTGGTGGCCAATCTGAAACCAAAGAGAGAGAAAGGTGGAGCTTTTGTTCCGATAAACTGGATCAAATCACTTTTTTGTGTGCCGTAATTCTGAACCATCATGTCAACATGTGTGGCCTGCTCAGGATTTTCCCTTGGCCCCGCACTAATTACAGACAAGTCTGCTCCCTCAGTAATTATAACGGCATCGGTAACAATGCGCTGGATGATCCGCGGTATTCTGTGTGGAGTTTGAATGGAGAGAAAAACATCGAGGAGGCATACAATACACTCATATTCACATCAACGCTGTGTCTTTTCGTGTGTGTTGGTCCAGACCATCCTGAACTCTATGCACAAGTACCAGCCCCGGTTCCACATAGTGCGGGCCAACGACATCCTGAAGCTTCCCTACAGCACCTTCAGGACCTACGTCTTCCCGGAGACTGAATTCGTGGCGGTGACGGCCTACCAGAACGACAAGGTGAGTCACTGTTCACACTCAACCGACTGCCTCTAATATGGCTGCTATACTTTGCATAATAAATGTCCTACATGCGTCCCCTCCCCCCACCGCCAACCCCCGAAGACTTAATCTGATTTTGTAGGTCGCCTAATTTCCCTGCAGAGGACTCCCATGGCCCACTTGATTTATTTATTTATTTTGCCTGGACTCGTGGGTGTAGCAGATATGTCTGTCAATGTATTGTACCTGCTATTAATGGGCTATAAATTGGCCATCACCCTGAGCTGAAGTATATAAATTAGGCGATTAAATGTGGAGAGTGTATTGTGTTTGTAATGCAGCAGCAAACATGGCAGACATGCGCTCTTTCTTTATTTTCATTTTTGCCTTTTCAAAGAATGACACTAGCACCTTCCATTTTGGGGGATTTAATACAGCCTATAGTTAGAGCATTTAAAAACCCAGCACATTTTAATTGAGGTTTGAATATGTGTAGCCCATATTAGACGGTATTACTAGCCTCTTCTGTTGACTCGTTCTCCTCCATGAAGCTAATTGGAGCTTGTGTGTGTGTGGGGGGGGGGGGGGTCTTGTAAAAGTTTATGGCAAAGACTCATCATCGATTAGAGGGCAGTTAAAAGGCTGGTCACCCCGCAGTCACAGTGGAGAAGACACTCTCTGCTCAAATTGCAAACGCCTAAAGCGTCTTGTTCAAGGGCCACAGGGCCTTCAGGAGCGAAGACGCTCCCGCAAGAGCCGTACAGGCGCTTTGCCGGCTCCGCGCCCCTATTTTGAGCCACACTGGCCGCTTCGACATCAGGACATATCGTAGAGAAGCAGTGATCCAAACCGCATTATTAATTATTGATATGATAGTCATCTGTTCAAGTATTGTTCCCCCTGCCTCTTTTTCTGGGGGAACGGAGGCTTGTGTGGCCCCATAGAGGAATATTTCGTGGCAGAATTTCTCTCCAGGGGCCTATGAGAATAACACCCCATCATTACGCTTTTATTAATAATGCAAATCCGAGGCCTGCCGTGGCTACTGTCCAACACGCTGCTGTGTGTTTATCCAAACACGTTGCTGTCCCAAATATGGGCAGCGAGGACAACGTGCTCTAACAGGTCTGTTGTAATTCTCGTTCCATTCCTCCAACATCTATTCTCACTCTGTATTTTTGACAGATAACGCAGCTGAAGATTGACAACAACCCTTTTGCCAAAGGATTCAGAGACACGGGGAACGGGAGGAGAGAGAAAAGGTAACTGCCGCCCAACACCTGCGTGCAGGCCTGTGTGTGTGAGTGTGCCCAAGGTCATGGTGGCACAGCTCCCAAACCACCATTCATGAGTATTATTATTATCGTTGTTAATTGACAGGAAACAGCTAACCATGCCATCGCTGCGGATGTTTGAGGACCAGTGCAAGGCGGACCGGGATGGCGCGGACTCGGACGACTCATCCAGTGAGCCTCCGACCAGCAGGGACGCCGTCCACTCCCCGCTGGGAGCCGATACCAGCCCGCTGAGGTTCAGCAGGTCCAGTCGAGGTGAGACACGTTGTTGTTGTTTTCTTCGGGCCCGTATATATATATATATATATATATATATATATATATATATATATATGAGCCGGTATTTCAACGATGGTTAAAGCCTTTAACAGCTATGATGTGTTTTTGTAATCACCTAAAACGACTAAGAATTTAAATTCAGTAGCATAATTTAAATGTTGTTAAAATGGCTAAAATATGTCTGTAACCTGGTGGAAGAAATGAATCTGTAACGTGAGGAAAATAAATAATTGGGGTGCAGAAAAATACCTTTTTTTATTTTCTGTGCGGGAATGTGTTATTGCTCGAATTTAGACGCATTCACGCACACCCATAACAATGGGATACCTAAAACCTTCAAACCTGTTTGAATATTTAAAAATTCTCACCACTAGTGGACACCTGTCAACCAATTCAGTACAGGCCAACTAAGATCACCCATTGTACCCGCTTTATTTCATGAAATTCCAATAAACAGGACTTATTTTATTTACAATAATTGTATGAAGCATGGCAGCTAAATAGACCTGATGAGAGTGAATGTAAACAGTAAAATGTATTTAAACTTTTACAAAAATGTGCTAAATCATATTTAGATTGAAATTGAGATCATACAATGTGTGAAACGCTTATCAGGGTCAACGACATTTGACTTCCAATTATTCTAAAAGTAAATGTTGTCTGGTTTTGGTTTTTATTTGGTCCCAACCTATTGTTTTTTTTCCCTTAATGTATCCAAAGAATTGATATGACAATACTGGCTAAAGTATTTGTTAATGGGCCATGCTTTTAATTCAAATGTCTTGATGTGTGCACACTCAAACGCTTTACACAATTAATACAAAAGCTATTTTATGTTGCTCTGAAAAACTAAATTTACATTTGGTCTGATATGTGCAGGCTGGCTTATATTGCAACATAAATAGAACTAGAATGACAACACAAGCTGGGTTATTGGAATCTTTTTGTGATAGCGATGGTTAGACGCTCTGCTTACACCTCTCTTTTTTCCCAATGTGATTCCTGTATTTTAGATGAGAAAACGTGCACTGACAGCGAGCAGGAGCTGGAGCATCATGACGAGCGCTGCACTGGCTCCAACAGCCCGGGACCTGAACCTGTGTCCCCCTACAGCTCCAGGTGTGAGGAGCGCATGAGGGACAGGCCTATAACAGAAAAGAAGGATGACTCCTTATTCAGTATAAGGAACCTTGAGAAGGACAAAGCGGAGAGCAGGCACAGGAAGGACACCAAGGACATGTTGACAAAGGACTTGGAGGCCGGAGGCATTAGTGCCACTAAGGAGACCTTCTCCCCTCTCATGGTTCAGACCGAGAGCCCCTCGCACTTCAGCCCAGCCCACTTACAAAGTCTGGCTCTGTCTGGCCTGCACAGTCAGCAGTTCTTTAACCCTCTGGGCGCCGGATCACCACTGTTGTTTCACCCCGGGCAGTTTGCCATGGCCCCTGGAGCCTTTTCTGCTATGGGCATGGGGCATCTATTGGCCTCTGTATCTGCAAGTGGTTTGGAAAATGGCCTCTCCACTCAGGGCACGGGAGGAAGCCCCAACCCCTTCCCCTTCCATCTGTCTCAGCACATGCTCGCCTCTCAGGTAAGGAAGGGCCTCCATTCACAACATTATTTAGTTCGTCTGTACACTTGTAGGACTGAGCTGATGTCAGCACGACAGGAAAGTTGGAGCTTTGGGTTGAGAGTGTAGACGGTGCAATCAGAGCCGTCTTATATTTAGTACTGAAAATATGCATGATCAGAGATGCAAAATGTCATGTATTTGCTGCATGCAAACAAGTGGGACTTTTTGAAAGTATTAGCACTAACACACATTTAATGATAAAAACAGTAATCAAACTATTGCCTTGAACATGTTCAGCTTCTGTGGAGTAAACTATTTGTAAAAATATTTTTACACCCAAAATAAACATTTGTTGCTTTTACTTTCATAATTTACTAAATCTGTTTAAAAAAATCTGAAGAAATTGACCAGTTTAGTTGCTGTTTGTGTGTTGGAAGAAATGTATCAGTGCTTTGATTATTTGACAGCTTGACTGGAAATAGTGATGTGTAACTGTAACTCATGGTCTTTCCTCTTGCATATTCCAGGGCATCCCCATGCCTCCGTTTGGCGGTCTGTTCCCATATCCCTACACCTACATGGCGGCGGCTGCTGCTGCGGCCTCGGCCTCAGCCCTCCCAGCCACCAGCACCTCTAACCCCCTCTCCAGGAACCCCTTCCTGAACGCGTCACGTCCCCGGCTCCGCTTCAATCCCTACCAGCTCCCAGTGTCGCTGCCTCAGAGCCTGCTCACTGGCCTGCAGGGCAGCCTGAATCCAGGCTCCGAATCCTCCAAACCGGGCAGCAGGGACACCAGTCCAGCACCGGAGCACCACAGCAACCATAAGACAGGAGGGTCAAGTGGGAGGGTTGCATCTCCCAAAACCTCTATGAAGGACTCAGTGAATGAGCTGCAAAGCATTCAGAGGCTGGTCAGCGGCCTGGAGAGCCAGCGGGAGCCCTCCCCGAGTGCAGACTCTCCCAAGTGATGAAAACTCTCCGTTTGGGATGAAGACTTGGCTTGAATACCAGAGGACTATAAGTGCATTTGTCCTGTACAGCACATTAGAGAGACTGGGATGAGGTTTGACTGATATAGGTCCAGTGAAGGCCGATAACTGGTATTTTTTGGAACAAAGCAGCATATTGACAAAAATGTTGCCCATATAATTCAATTTAATCTTTTTAAATCCACAAGTATTAAGGGTCTCCTCTGGAGCTTACCTATTAGAGAGGGTGAAAAGCCTGTAAGACAACATTTTGACTATCATCAGATACACACCTTCCCCTGAATCCCATGTTTTGGGGTTAGCGGCTCTTGAAGGCAGGCTCACCCATGTAGAAACTCTGGGGTACATTCCTGCATTAAAATACTATTATACAAAACAATGAAATATATAAACAACACATTTTAGACAATGAAATACTAAAATAATGATAAAACAAAAATGAGGGTCAGGATCGGCCCCATCAATCGGTCTAACCTGCTTGAGAGCCTGCCCCTCCGTAGACTGGGCGGGGCACAGCGGAGTGTTGAGTTTGGTGAACTTGAAGCATTTGAGCGTCCCGGCCTGGTTTCGACAGGCAGGTCTCAAGCTGCATCCAAAAACTTTTTTCCAGGCCTGATTATTTCAAAAGGCACGGAAGGTGAACGCTCTGCGAGAGGAAGAAATAACCGCTTATCATTTCATGCCAGAAAAAAAAATCGGAACTATTTATGTAATTAAAGATAAAACAAATTCTGTAAATAAAGCTAAGATCCAAGAATATGCAATTGGTATTAATTTATTCAAGGCTGTATATTAGCGTGTATATATTTCGAATTTAACTTGTTACTTTTTTTTCTCCTCCTCCTCTCCCCCATTTTACATGAACGTATACTGTACATGAAAGCTATTTAGCGCTTGTTGGTTTGAAAAACTGTTTATGAAGCATCGCTGATTTTTAGGTGACGTGTGTGCCATGTTTTAGTCTGCATCCACCGACAAAGACAGAGGAAAGAGCTCCACATGGATTCAAAAACACCTCAGGTTATTTCACTCCAGCCAGGAGACATTCAAAGCAATTCCTCCTACGGGCGCATCATTCATATCTATTCAAAAATATATTTAAAGAAGAAAGTATCTTGTTTATGCTGGTTGTCCGGGTTTTTTTTTTTTTTTTTTTTTGATTGTCTCACAATTTCAATAAAAAAATCGTTGTGCTGAAAGCTTGGAGGCGTATCCTTATTATTATTGTTGTTATTATTGTTTATTGTTAATTATATTAATATAAGAACTTTTTATTATTGGTATCCTCTTATTAGAGCCGAACAGCTGTACACATTTTAAAAAGCGTTTTTTTAAATAAGTCGTTGGACACACACACACACAGTGCACACACATAAGCACACGTGGGACAGGAGCGCCCCCTGTCGATCATATGTTTTACATGAAAAAGTGCATGTGTGTATTTTAATTTCATAAGAACATGTTATTGAGTTTAATCCGTGTCATTAAAATACATTTGAAATCAGATGATGAAATTAATTGATTACTTTTTGGGTGATATTTGTTGCTATCCATTTTCCATAAAATCTACAGCTGTGAATGTCAAATTAAATCTTTTTGTACCGGCTTTAATTGACCGATAGAGTTAAAGAGACAACTTTTCTTCTTGATACTATTTGTGACGGTTATTGTATTAGTTGCTTAGCAGTATACAGTACCAGCAATTGGCCTATGTCTGTCATTTTGTATTTATTATATGTCTGTCTCTTGCATGCTTCGCCGTTCAAGTCTATTTAGAGCACGTCTTCAGTCACCGTCAATCAGCATTTCCTTTAGTATTGTGTGGCCGTCTGTATTTTTAGAAAGAGTCGAGTAATGTAAGTATTTATAGGAAGAGCTTTCTCTGCTGCGCTCACACATCCGCTGAAGCCTGAGAGCAACTCTTAACCGTTCCCTCACTGAGCTGGGAGCTCATCAGGAAATATGGAGTTTTGGCCAGTACATTTTGGAAATACATGTAATATTGTGGGGTTTTAATGCGCTGAATATGCAAAGATTTCACGTGTTATTATCTATTATCTCTAGACCGTCTGATTGTTGTCATTTTTTTTGTGTGTTCCTTTTCAGTCATGGCGTTCAAAGCATTTGGTACCAAAGTCAAATTGTGAACCATTGTGTGTGTGTGTGTGTGTGTGGGTGTGTGTGTGTGTGTGTGTGTGTGTGTGTGTGTGTGTGTGTGTGTG